TCACCACTGGTGTTTCAAAAATGTACCGTGCTGTCACCTTGACACCAGAACACAGGGACTTTCACCGGTTCTTATGGAGAGATAAAGATACTGACCCAGTCGTGGACTATCGAATGACAAGAGTCACCTTTGGAATTGCGAGTGCTGCATTCTTGGCAACAAACTCGCTACTGTGTCTTGCAAAGGAAAACGAATCAGAGCTCCCCCTTGCTGCAAACGCCGTAAAAGAGTCCTTCTATGTTGACGATGGCCTTCCCTCTGTGGAAACAAAGCAAGAAGCCATCTCACTTCATCATCAGCTTCGAGACCTCTTTAATAGAGGAGGATTCAAACTTCACAAATGGGACTCAAACTCGCCTGAAGTTTTGAACTCAATCTCTCCAGAGATTAGAAGCACAAAGAACACTTCTTCCCTTGGAAATTCTGACAGCTTTGTCAAAACTCTTGGAATGGAGTACAATTCCAATCAAGATCACTTCCGGTTCTCTTCCACTAAATTATCCATTGAAGAATCACTTATTACCAAGTATTGAAGTATTGTCTGATTCAGCAAAGATCTTTGACCCCCTTGGTCTCATCTCGTGTGTCACCATTGTAGCAAAGATAATCTTTCAGCGTCTCTGGGAACGAGGCACAGCATGGGATGAACCCCTCCCACCAGACATTCAGAAAGAGTGGCTAAATTGGAGAACACTACTCCCTGAAATCTCAAACATCCACATTCCACGCTGTTACGCACAAGTCAGCAGTACGATTGTCGTCCGTCAATTAATCGGTTTTTCTGATGCCAGCGAGGCCTACTGTGGTGTTGTGTACTTAAGAAGCCTTGACACGGCCGGCGGAGTCTACACTTCCCTTATTATGGCAAAAACGCGTGTCGCACCGATCAAAAAGGTTACTTTACCTCGACTTGAACTTTGTGGAGCCCATTTGCTCTCACAACTCATGAAACATCTCCAAGAAATCTTGGCTATCCCAACCTGCAATCTTTATGCCTTCACTGACAGTACCATTGTTCTTTATTGGATCTATGGTAAAAGTCAGCGTTTCAAGACCTTCGAAGCAAACAGAATCGGAGAAATTCAAGAAAATGTTCCCCCTGAAAAATGGGCTCATGTCATCAGCGAAGAAAACCCAGCTGATGTTGGATCTCGTGGCATTACCCCAGACGAAATCACTGCTCACAATCTCTGGTGGAATGGTCCCAGTTGGTTGAAAGAAGATCCTTCAAACTGGCATCCCAAGATTTCTGCCCCTCCTTCATTGGAGACTCTTTACTCCTCAGGCATTGATGAAGCAAGNTCCCTTGGAAATTCTGACAGCTTTGTCAAAACTCTTGGAATGGAGTACAATTCCAATCAAGATCACTTCCGGTTCTCTTCCACTAAATTATCCATTGAAGAATCACTTATTACCAAGTATTGAAGTATTGTCTGATTCAGCAAAGATCTTTGACCCCCTTGGTCTCATCTCGTGTGTCACCATTGTAGCAAAGATAATCTTTCAGCGTCTCTGGGAACGAGGCACAGCATGGGATGAACCCCTCCCACCAGACATTCAGAAAGAGTGGCTAAATTGGAGAACACTACTCCCTGAAATCTCAAACATCCACATTCCACGCTGTTACGCACAAGTCAGCAGTACGATTGTCGTCCGTCAATTAATCGGTTTTTCTGATGCCAGCGAGGCCTACTGTGGTGTTGTGTACTTAAGAAGCCTTGACACGGCCGGCGGAGTCTACACTTCCCTTATTATGGCAAAAACGCGTGTCGCACCGATCAAAAAGGTTACTTTACCTCGACTTGAACTTTGTGGAGCCCATTTGCTCTCACAACTCATGAAACATCTCCAAGAAATCTTGGCTATCCCAACCTGCAATCTTTATGCCTTCACTGACAGTACCATTGTTCTTTATTGGATCTATGGTAAAAGTCAGCGTTTCAAGACCTTCGAAGCAAACAGAATCGGAGAAATTCAAGAAAATGTTCCCCCTGAAAAATGGGCTCATGTCATCAGCGAAGAAAACCCAGCTGATGTTGGATCTCGTGGCATTACCCCAGACGAAATCACTGCTCACAATCTCTGGTGGAATGGTCCCAGTTGGTTGAAAGAAGATCCTTCAAACTGGCATCCCAAGATTTCTGCCCCTCCTTCATTGGAGACTCTTTACTCCTCAGGCATTGATGAAGCAAGCTTGCAACTCAAAGAACGAAAGGAAGTCACACTTCAAGCAACCACTACACCTGATAAAACCAAACCCGTGATTGACATTGAAAGATACTCCAACTACTTGAATCTCCTGAGAGTTACTGCTTGGGTATTTCGTGTTGTCACCCGCTCTCATCTATTCAGCTCCACACCTCTGTCAGTTACTGAATTGTCTTGAGCCAAAACTTGGTTGTTCAAACAAGCACAAGCTAAGATGTTTCCAGAAACAGTGGAGGTACTCCGGAAAGGGAAGCCACTCCCTTTGTCCAATTCTCTACAACCGTTAAACCCATTTCTTGATGCAGACGGTCTACTAAGAGTCGGTGGACGTCTCTCCCAGTCACTGAAAGACTATAATTCTCGCCATCCACTGATCCTCCATGGAAAACACCATCTCACATCACTGATAGTAGAGAGTGAACATAAACGTTTATGCCATGCTGGTCCAAAGCTTACCCTAGGATCCCTTCAAGATCTCTACCATATTGTTGGTGCACGCAGAGCGGTACGCAAGTGTACACGTCAATGCGTGACATGTCGACGCATCTCTCCAAAGGTCGTCACACAACTCATGGGTCAAGTACCAACTGCACGTCTTCTTCCAAGTTTCGCTAATGAAAGAGTTTCAGTTGACTATGCAGGACCTCTGACTCTGAAGATTGGAACAACACGAAGACCAACCTATTGCAAAGCCTATGTGGCAATCTTTGTGTGCCTAGCAACTGAATCCTGTCATATTGAATTAGTGTCAAATCTCACAGCTGAAGCATTTCTTGCTGCTCTTCGCCGTTTCATTTCAAGAAGAGGGAAACCGACTCAAATCTGGAGCGACAATGCATCATGCTTCCATTGTGCAAACAAAGAATTAAAGGAACTTGGACAATGTCTTTAGCAACAAAACACGCAAGAATCTATTATGAATTTCTGCTCTACACAGGACATCCAGTGGAAATTCAGCCCACCAACAGGTCCTCACCATGGTTCCGTCTGGGAAAATGGGGTCAAAGCTTGCAAACATCATCTGAAGCGCATAGTCGGTGAAAGTAAACTCACCTTCGAAGAGATGGCAACTGTTCTGTGCCAAATCGAGGCTTGCCTCAACTCCAGACCTCTCTACACAGCACTTGACTCAAATGATGATGATGGAATTGCTCCACTCACCCCTGGTCACTTTCTAACTGGCAGACCACTCGAAACACTGCCTGACCAAGTTTCAACTGCGCCCATTTCAGCGTTGAAGCGATGGCAACTTTGTCAAGCCTTAGTACAGCATTTTTGGAAACGGTGGTCTACCGAATATCTTAATGCCCTTCAACGGTTCAATAAGTGGAGGCGACCTAAACTAAGTCTTTGTGTTAACGACATTGTGCTCATAAAGGACAATCGCACTCCACCATGTCAGTGGCCCCTTGGGCGAATCATCAGAATCCATCCTGGACCAGACCAGTTGGTCAGAGTAGTCACTGTCAAAACCAAGACTCGTTCTTTACCATGCAGAACACTACCTACTTTTTAATGACTTTATAAAAGAGGAACTTGATCGAGGCAGGAATGTTGCATGCAACTCCCTTCTTCGCCTGGAAGAAATGTACAGCGATGAGATCTTTATGAAGAAGCTTGGTGCGCAACTGGAATTTTTGAAAGAGAAGTCACCAACCCTTAAAATTTACATTGACTTTTTTCAACAGAAGGTGCCACACATAACGGAGGTTCACAACAAGATGGAAAGTCTCATGTACTATCTCGAGCAAAACACTCACTTGTCGGAAGACGATCTTGCTTTTTGTTTTCAAAGCAACATCTTCAGTTGTGAGGAGAGGGAGGAACTTGTTCTTCTTGCTAATTCAGCCTTCACTTCTGCCCATGAGAAACTACGAAAGTATGTGGTGGCAGGTGCTCAGCCAGCCTTAGAGTTTCTAAGGCAGGTACGTTTACTTGATCCAAGAAATCTCGTCTTTGCAGACCGCACCATTGATGCAAACGATAGCATTCCTGGATTTGATGCAGTGTCAAGAAACGAATGGGATCTGTATGTAAACCATCTTGGTCCTGAAGCTATCAAAGGCAGCACAGATGGCAACCTAGATCTTGTTCTTTTTTGGAAGTCATGTGCAAGCGACCTTCCCGAGCTCTACAAGATAGCCTCGTGCTATTGCACCGCTACAGCAGGCTCTTACGATGTAGAACGGGCATTTTCTGCATATGATGATATTCTTGATGACAAGCGACGATCCCTAAATCAAAGCACAATCAAAGCATTCCACTTTTTAAATTGGAATCTCCGGGTCCAGTTTTCAGATGAAAAGAAAAAGGATCAACCATCAGCCACAGTGCCCCTCTTGAATAAGCGAATGCCCCAAAGCACCGTAAAACAAACTGCCGAGAAACAGGAACCAAACAGCACTCCAAAGTCACATGTACCAAAGAAAGAAATGAAACAATCCCAGTACACTGAAGACATGGGAAAACCAAAGACACGTGTACCAAAGGAAGAAATGAAACAAGCCCATCACACTGAAAGCATGGGAAAACCAAAGACACATGTACCAAAAGAAGAAATGAAACAAGCTCAGCACACTGAAAGCATGGGAAAACCAAATGACCAAAAAAGGGGAACAAAAAGAAAAATGTCAGATTCCGCCGTTAAAACGAAGAAACCGAAAGAAATGAGCGGGAAGTCTACTATAGCATCTATTAGTAGATTTTGTTTTAGCGGAAGGTCAGCCAGTACTTCCAGTACTTTGTCTGCAACGTGCACAGTGGACTATGGACTAAGCCATGACATAGTAACTGTATTTGCGAGAGAAGATACCTGCGTCTTTCCTCTGTACAAAGAGCCTCTCGTACAATTTTTGCTTGATGACATGACCAGGTTTAAAGGAAGCAACTTAACAGATAAGGAGGACCTACAAGGTCTTATCGGCGGTAATACGACTGATAAGGAGAATTACCTTAATAACTTCATTATTGACGAGTACTTGAAACTCCTTGCAGCTGAAGCTTCTGCACAGGGTTTGAAAGCTGAGACAATTGGATGGGAGCCTTTTGAGAAGGCAGCTGGTCTGAAACCAGCCAGTAACATTTTAAAGGGGAAGGCTCCACTGCTGGAACAAGACATCGTCCTTGTACCTCTCAATCCAGGACAAAGTGAACATTGGTCGCTTTTAGTTGTTAAGCCCAAAGAAAGGGAAATGTTTGTTCTCGACAGCCTAGCAGCATCATTTGTGAAGCCATCCACAAAAAACGCAATCGTGAAGATGTGCGATCTCCTACAAGAAATTGATCCTAAGCTAAAGCCCGAAGAATGGAATTTCTCTACAAACACACCACAGGACATTCCGCAACAATCAAATTGTTATGATTGTGGCGTTTTTGTTTGTGCATACGCTAGATGCCTACTTTTGAAATCGTCCCTGCCTGATGACTTCACAAGCTTTCGAAAGCATATGGTTCTAGAGCTACATGGCGGTAAAATTCAAGGCTTTGACGAGTTACCTACACCGCAAGAGGAAACGTATTATGCAGTTGAATATCAGAAGTCGTTTTACATTGGCCGTGTCCTTCAAAGATCTGATGATTCACATGCCATGTACAAGTTTCTCCACAAATGCAGTTCCCAAATGTTTGACTGGCCAAAGCGCGATGACATCGAAACTTGCCATGATTCGTGTGTCTTCTACGGGCCTGTGTCTGTTGTCGGAAATGCTCCATTTACTAGCCCACAGTTGATGGAGATAGATCAAGTATTTAACTGGCTACGAAAGAGCAGGAAAACAAAGAAATGAAGTAATGATGGAAGCCATTCTTTTAATGGACTTTTCAATCCGTATGTACGAAACGTTGTCTATTGAAAAGCCGAGAACGTTTGTTGTTACTTTTTTTAATTGTGTATTTAAAATGTTTTTGATGCGGTCACTGACAGTATTATTCATTCAGCGCTATTGAAGTTATGGTTACCGTAGGAGTTTTGATGTTTGATGGAAGCTGTCAATTTAGGACTTTAAAATCCGTACGTACGAAATGGTGTGCATTGACAAAGAGAAAACAATTATATTACTTTTTGAATTCTTTATTTTAATGTTCTTTTAATAAGTTATTGTACTTTAAGGGCGTGTAATTTGTCATACTGTACCTCAAAATGAAAGATAAGGCACATATTACCAAAAACTGTAATATCGATTTACAAAAGGGGCGTTTGAAACTGTCTTTTCCGAAGGAAAGAAATTTAATGATCTTGTTAACTACTTTGTCTGTGACTCCTGGTATTAACGACATCCCCACTTTACTGTTAAGTGTACTTTCTTTTGTGAATGTAAAAAAAAATGAAACTTCAAGCCAAGGATTCAGCAAGAAAGTATTATACATTGCTTATTATGGGAAATAAATTTAACTTGAACTACAGTGATCGGGGTTCACTTCGATAATTGGTATTCACAGAACATCTGCGAGAAACGGAACATTTTGGGACTGCTTCCGGTGTCCAGTTTTCCTCGTCCGCTCTAATGCCTGGCTGCTAAGCTTAAAATGTTTCCACGAATTGAAGAACAAAATCATGTCGAATCTTCGCGTTAAGTCTAAGGAAAAACTGCTTTAAATGAAGAAATACCTGTCAAAGAATGGCAGAAAAAGGTCAAGCATGATAACAAGCATTATGTTTAAAAGATGTAATGAACTCAAATTCTTGGTAAGAGCTTGTTGATATTTCCGTTTATCGTTTTTACCGTACTTTGCGTTGAAATGAGCGGCGTAGCCGTGATTGTTTTGTTAGAAGTGAGCGGCGAAGCCGTGATCGTTTTTTTAGAAATGAGCTGTGAAGCCGCGATCGTTTCGTTGCAAATTTCCGCATAATCTGTTGTCTTTTCCGCATAATTGGCACTTTCTTCCGCATAATATTGCCCGAAATTTCCGCATAATTTTTCATTTTTTTCCGCACCCTGTCAGATGGCCTGATAATAAGAAAACATGGACTTAAAGCAGAATCTCCTCGTACCTTATTGAACGAGCCTATCCACCGATCGTACCTTGACTATTACAGCGTTGTTTGGGAGGGGCTAGATTCAGAATTTTCTCTGAAGCTTCAAAAATTACAAAACCGCGCAGCTAGGAACATAGCCTTTTCCAGTTATGATTCTATCTCAGCCCTCTGCTCCAAGAGCTTGGATGGGACAGGCTTTCTATATGCAGAATTAAAGAAATGTTCAAGGTGTACAACAATATGGCACCTGAGCTGAAGGTTTTACTCCAGTATGAGTTGAAACACCAGTTTTATGCCTTTTGGACACGGATCTTCGCATTGCATTCATGAATTGTTGCAGAATGAAAAGCTAACGTCGTAGAGGCATGTTTTTGATGGCGTGCACACCTCACCTCGCGCTCAATCTGGACCCCAGAACTTTTCTGCACATGTCTGGAGGGTTGTCCAATACTCAAACTGAGTCCACATTTCACTTAAATGCTATTCCATTGATCTAATGTTTTAATCTTACTTATACCCCCAGATTATTGCAGCATTTCTTTTTTTTCCCTTGCCGTTCTCCTGCCTTTAAAAGGATGAATCCCTTTTATCATGATATAACGAAATTGTGTTATGCATCATGTTTCACTTAAGTGTTTCCATTCAACCATACTTATTTAAGTGGAATGGTTATGAAACCCGTTAGACTCTTTTGTTATATTTTTTTGTTAGCTTTTTTGGACCTAACTGTGCACAACGTTCAGTAGCATTCCTAAAATTTACAGACCAATAAAATCATCTCATTAACTTATTCAGTCACCATTTGTGAACAAAGAACAATTTAAAGACTTGTTCACCTGTATTCTAGTTTCATTTAAACAATTAGAATTAGCACTGATTGATAGCTTATAGTTGTAATGCATCTTTTCGTTAGTGTAGAATAGCAAATGAGCCTTTCTATTTCCATCTTTATTGTTTACAGACCAGCAATTTTCTTCCAGTGAGGCTGGGATTAAGAGCCAGCCTTCTTCAAAGGACCAATTGAAGCAACGCATGCCTTTATCCCTTGTGGTCATGTCTGTTCAGAGGAAATTGTGTGGTAAGGAAAACATAATAGCCTGACCTCAACAGAGAAGGCGTAAAAACAAATAAAAATAATGTGGCTAGATGAAATTTAGGCTAAGTTTAACTTGAGACAATACTGGCCAGTACCCTTTTTTTACGCCTGATAATCGGGGGCGCTCTAATAGCTTCGCAGGTGCCGATGGGTTTTTACAGGATCTTCCACCACTTACTGCCTACTCAATCTCATCCACAACTGACTCTCTGAGCTTGATAATCCTGGTTGTTATTTGAGAGCCTGCTTCCTTCACTTTAGCAAGGTGTTTGACAGGATCGACCATACCATCGTTATTAGGAAGCTAAGAACAATTTAAAGGCTTGTTCACCTGTATTCTAGTTTCATTTAAACAATTAGACTGAGCACTGATTGATAGCTTATAGTTGTAATGCATCTTTTCTTTACAGTAGAATAGCAAATGAGCCTTTCTATTTCCATCTTTATTGTTTACAGACCAGCAATTTTCTTCCACTGAGGCTGGGAATAGAGCCAGCCTTCTTCAGAGGACCAATTGAAGCAACACATGCCTTTATCCCTTGTGGTCATGTCTGTTCAGAGGAAATTGTGCGGTAAGGAAAACATAATAGCCTGACCTCAACAGAGAAGGCGTAAAAACAAATAAAAATAATGTGGCTAGATGAAATTTAGGCTAAGTTTAACTTGAGACAATACTGGCCAGTACTCTTTTTTACGCCTGATAATCGGAGGCGCTCTAATAGCTTCGCAGGTGCTGATGGGTTTTTACAGGATCTTCCACCACTTACTGCCTACTCAATCTCATCCACAACTGACTCTCTGAGCTTGATAATCCTGGTTGTTATTTGAGAGCCCGCTTCCTTCACTTTAGCAAGGTGTTTGACAGGATCGACCATACCATCATTATTAGGAAGCTAATTGACTTAGGGGTGCATCGCTGTAATATACCATGGATCTGCCGTTTCCCAACAGATCGGTGGCCACATGTCAAACTAGGGCAGACCGACTCCAATTGGCTCCCAGTACGTGCCGGTGTCCCTCAAGGGACCCAACTGGGTCCTATACTCTTTGTAATAATGATTAACGATTTGAAATTGGCCTCCCCGCGTTGCTCATACTGGAAGTATGTAGATGGCATAACTATATCAGAATTTCCAGCGGCACACGGGGTAGCAATTTTGCAATCTTAACTTGACAACATCAGCATTTGGGCTGCTACAAACAATATGGTTCTTAACCCCAAAAAGTGACACTAGAGCCACTAGACATTAAAGCCTTTGAGTCACTCGATGCCCATAAAGTATTGGGCGTTACAATCCAAAGTAAAAATCTCAAATGGGATTTGCACATTAATGAGGTTGTGGCTAAGGCGTCAAAGAGGCTGCATATTCTACGAGTCCTCAAACGCGGCGGAGTA